AAGTGCTTCTGAAAACTCTCACTTTTCATTCTGCTGTTTTCCTTCCCTGACAGTAATCGTAAAAGAATACCATGACCTCCCTCGGCTGGTTATATAAGGTGTGTTTGTTTGAAGACTTAAAATTCTTTACTTTAGTGAAAAACTCACATGGAAGTTGTGATGAAAAAGTAATCTGCATTACGAGTCAGCGTTGAGACTTCCCACCACGAATATTGGATTGGATTTGGCTTCATTTCATAGGGATGGCAAAATGAGGCCAACTGTTAATAGTCAAGGAACCATTCACTGCAGAGAGGGCTTGAAGCACACCTTTTGCATCCCTTATTTCAGTCACCTATGATCAGCCAAACATAATTGATTTTTGTTCAACCTTCAAGAGTTCATGATAATTCTCTTTCATGTCTCAAATCTAGAGTTTCAAATCAATGTTTTTTGGTCTCACATACCTTTTTTGTCTATTTTTGTTTAATTTTAGTTCTATTTGTTTGGGATGAAGGACAAAACATTTTACACAGTCAGTGTGTATGGCAACCACGCATGCTATCTGACAAAAACAGGAGTGAATACAACACTCTGGATAAGTACCCTCTGATTGAACACAGCATTCGCTTAGGGAGAGAGTCACAAGGAGGAAAAATAAGCCTCAAAAAGTCATGAATTTATGTATTTATTCTCTTTGTAATTACTTTCACTCTTGTGGCCTTCCTTGAGGAGAGGAATCAATGTCTGGCAGGCTACATGGCCAGGGATTTAAAAGTCTTGGAGGCAAATTGTGTACGCGTATGTGCCTATTAAGTGCAGGGATAAAGGAACATATTGTTGAGAGATACACAGTCCCACCTCTGTGTGAACCCTCAGAATGAGGGAATCACGAAAGTAATAACGAAACATCTGCTCTTGTTATGAGGTGTGAGAATGCTGTCATTTATCAAACACCTAAACACAACATAAAGAATGAAAGCTCGACGTGTTCTCTGGGGTCCTTGTGAGTTCTTGCACAGATAAAAACCTTCCGTCTTTGTGGACTTCAAGGTCGGTGACACAACACTTTTTCTGAAGCTTGTCAGTGTTGCAAGAATGTTTGAAATGTAACCATGCCTCAGTGTCATTTATGATGAGTTGCTTCAGTTTTAACCTAAGCTTGGGGCCAACTGGAAATGTCAGACATAAAATCATTACATCAGGTGATTACATCAGCAAGCACGAATTAACGGAAGTTAAAGAAAAAAAAGCCAGAAGAAATACTTGCAGACTACTCTTAATGAGGCTGATTAGAGCAGTGTGATCCGGCTCTCCAAGGCACAGGAAGTAAGAAGAGTGATTGGCAGGAGGGAGAGCAAGCGGATCGTGATCTCACTAGCTGGCGCGGCTTGGCTTTGCGAGCGGCAGCTTTCTCCATCCATCCCTGCTGCTTTTCCACTTTATCTCATCTTATCATCAGGGTGTTTCTGCAGCACTCCACAGAACGAGCGTCTAAACTAGTGTGGGAACAATTTTGATTGACAGGGCAACTGTAGCATCTGTTGGTGGTTGTAAAAGGTGTGCTTTGATAAAACCTGGACTACTGATCTGTGCTGGTACCATAATTACTCTGAGGAATAAGCTGTTGAAGGTCTAATTCTGGTTTTGGCAGTAACCTCTAAAATGTTGTTTACTGTTCAATTTTGGAAATGCAACATTAATTTAACTGAAACGACTGAGCAAAACTGTCCCAGTTTTGATAGAACCTGTTTGGGGTGCAGATGTAGAAAGTGTGAAGTTGTAAGAGGATTAAATATTGAGGTCCCTGTGTCTGTGTGAGAAGGTAAAATTCAGAGAGAGAGCGAGTGAGAGAGAAGGAGGGCGAACTAATACAGCATGTTGAAAATTTGATAGGAACTGTCTCCCGCGAAGGTTGTTCTGAATGTATATGACTTAGCCTACGCAAATGCCAGTGTGACTGAAGCAGATGCATCTCAAAATCATGTTATACATTGCGAGACTGTGAGTCCTGGACCTAAGATGTCACAGCGTACCCTAGAAACTTTTGCAGTGAACACTATGTAGGTAATTCAGACTTTCCTAGGCTGGAAAGGCTGGTGGATTTCCTCTAAACACATAAGACTCAGCCATTGACGTGGTATCACTACAAATGGAAAGATTATAACGTGCTAGGACTTGATGTGGACAACAAACATAACAAATATTGTTTTATCTCACAGTATACTGAGAAATTACATACAAGGATGGCTTAACTTAAAGTCAACTATTTAAAGAAAGGTTTAGCATGACTATTTAACAACCTGTATTTACACTTTAGAAGTAAACCTGCTGATTGTGTTACTGTGCCTTTAAGATTGATATATGTAAATGACCTCTGTTTTTATTGTCTATCCTGCATTGTGCCTCTTTCAAATAGCAGCCTGCTACTGAGACATCTCAGTTCCAAAGTGAATGAGCTGGGTAAACTACTGTAAGCTAAACATGTGGACATATAATGGTATTTGGACATTTTTGCTATTATGAAAAATGTAGGATGTTCATTGTTTTAGGAAACAAAATATCAAACCAAGTGGCTTTTATTTTAAACACACAATGGCATTTTATTTGGGCAAAGTATTCTGGTGTGGCTGGTGTGTTTTCGAACACTATTGTTTCATCGTTCTTTGCAGACTTCTGCGGGTTGTACGTTTGTACACAATGTTCATTTGTGCATTGTACATTTCTGAGTTCATGAACCCATCAATGAGTCCAAACTGATGACACGACTTTACAGCCCAAGACTTTGACATTTCCACCTCTGTGCTTCATAGTACTCTGACTGAACTCTGGTTGGAATTCTTCTCCAAGATTTCTTCATACAAGGAGTCCACCAGCAATAATAGATTGTGTTAGAAGTATTTCTCTAAAATAAATATAATTTTGTTTATAATATTATTATATTTTATAAAGTAATCTATTTTATAAAGTGACCTAAAAACCATTATTAAAGTTTACCAGTGGTTAAAATGTTAAAATATTTTTGAGGCCACTGTATGCTATGGTTTTTGTAATATCACAAAAACATTGACTTCAAAAGAGGCAGCATTTGCAGTTTATGCCCTATTCGAGCTGAATTCGTTTTACCAAAGGAGGTCTGGTAATGTCATTTGTAAGAGATTCAACTGGCTGATTTGTACAGGATAATGTATCTTTTAAGTATCTAGTATTTGTCATAGCCTGGATGTTCACATTGGCATTAAGATTGGATCCAACGGATCCAAACAAACAAACTACAAAAGAGAACTTTCACTTGAAACCAGATAGAACAGCATTAAAGTAGTAAAGTGGGCTCAATTAACTTGATAAATGATGATAAACGGGACAAAAATCGCTTTGTCTTGTGAGAGGTACCTTTAAATATTTCATTTCGTTCTCCTTCTGTTTTAGATTCCATTAGCCCTGTTTTCAAAAGGAGCTGTGCTGAGCTCCTTTTTTTATAGAGTAGTCTAAAACATTTTTGGTGATGGGCTAATTAGAGTGATAATGAAATAAAATATCTACCTCTCACAAGGCAGAGCAATTTCAGTCCTGTTGGACGAATAGGGCTATATAAGGTAATTCCCTCCAGAATGATTGCTTAGCAAGCTTGTAAAAATGATGGACATGGCAGATTTGCACTGGATTAAAATTAAGGATCTCAGCAGTAATCACTCAAATTATAGCTCCTCCAAAGGGAAAACTAATCAAGCTTAAATAGGGCTTCAATTCCCATATATCAACCATATGTACCATATGTAGTAGGGAGTGAATGGTAAGTTTAGAAACTTTAACAATGTTTATATTAATAGATCGAACTCTTATTTTTAAGAAAACATGTTTTCCATGAAATGAGCCTTCTAAGTAACAATCTATACTCAAACATTAAATTTAAACTTGAAAATTTATTGCTTGATGTTTTTTTGAGATGTGAATCTCAGTGTTTTCCGCTATATTGCAAAAGGCTTGTACTTTCTTGAAATGCTTCAATTAAGCATGATATTGAGACAAAGGCAGTTAATTACATGCCCCATGAGTTACTGTAATATTGATTTACTGCAAATGAAACTTGGTAATTGTGCTCTGGTTATGCAGTCTTATCTAACACTTAGATTATTGTGGGAGGGAAAGTGGTGAGTCAGCTGACTTCATGAGTGTCGTATATCATGCTGGCTTCCAAGTGGAACCACGTGCAGTTGATAGAATGACTCAGTGCTGTCATGCTGAAATGCAGATTTTTTTAATGAACAGATTTTAACATTCTGGAGCTGGAGGAATATGGGTCATTCTTTGTATTCTGCAAAGATTCAAACAAAAAAACTGTATGTGTGTAATTTCATGAATTAGAAAATGCAATACACAGGATGTAATAATGCATTGTGCAGAGTGCATAAACTGTTTTGGTTTAGAGTAAGTTAAACTTTGTATTGTGGAGAATCCAGTGGGTCACTGCTCGAAGGACACTTGAAAGGAAATGATACATTCCTTTAAAACATTTCATCTTATTATGTACAGACATGTACAAAGATGGTGAATCACTTCAGTTCATGAGTGACACTGTGCTCCCTTACAAATGATCAAATGTGTCAAAGTTAAATGTGCGATAACAAAAGATTGGCTGGATGTGAAAAAAGAAAAAGCTTTCCCCCAAGTAATTGCTAATAGTACAATTCCTTCTCACAAAAAATGCCATTAGCCTGCAAAATGAGATGCATTAAGCAAATCCTTTGAGGATATGTCTGTTATTACAAAATAATGCTTCACAGATATTGCCTTGTGTATTTGCTTTTTGAAACATTTTCTAAGGTTAATCCTGTTTTTTTGTCCAGAAAATTGACATTAGATTAGAAAATCTAATTGCATTGCATTTTATCTCTTTTATGTCTGTACTAAAAATCCTCCAGTCATAGTGATTTGCATTATTTATTTGTTTATGCTTATATTTATTTATTTTAATTCCTTTTCAGATTTCATACACCAGTCAAATTTCATTTTAAAACAACATGGATCTCCTGAACTGCTCCTCTGTGGAACTCTCTGATGTTCTGGTTGGCCGGATCAGCCCTGGTAAAGTCCTGCTCTCCCTGATGCTCTCAGTTTTGGCTGTGGTCACCACCATCATCAACTCCCTGGTGATCACCGCTATCTTGGTCACCCGCAAGCTCCACCAGCCAGCCAACTACTTGATCTGCTCCTTGGCCGTGACTGACCTTCTGGTGGCTGTGCTGGTAATGCCGGTCAGCATCATCTACATAGCAGAGGAGGCTTGGGTGCTGGGGCCAATCGTGTGCCACCTGTGGCTGGGCGTGGACGTTACCTGCTGTACTTGTTCCATCCTACATCTGGCTGCCATTGCCCATGACCGTTACCGTGCCATCACTGATGCCGTGGCCTACTCTCAGAAGCGCACGTCCAGACGTGCTGTCACAACTATCGTGGTCCTTTGGGTGCTTTCTGTACTTGTTTCACTTCCTCCGCTCATGTGGAGGAAATTTCCCAATATAAGAGAAGAAGGTGGTGGTAATGGAGTTGGGGTTATGGACTGTTTGATAGAGCATGACCATGTTGCCTTCACAGTCTACTCCACATTTGGTGCTTTCTACATCCCCCTCACCCTCATCCTGGTGCTCTACTACAAGATCTACCGGGCGGCCCAGACACTCCGTAACCGAAGAGGAAGCAGCCGTTTGGTGCAGCAAACAGTCAGCAGCGTCATGTTGAGTTCGGAAAGAGAGGCTCCTCTCAGTCCAGACACGCTCAGCCCCACCGAAAAGTCTTTTTCTGACCCGTCTACGGATGGAGACAGAGTCAGGATTGCGCCCAACACAGGGCGGATGGTCAGGAACCGCAGGGCCCCTGGGGCCAGGGAGAGACGTGCAGCTTTGACGCTGGGCCTCATCCTCGGGGCCTTCGTAATCTGCTGGCTGCCTTTCTTTCTCAAGGAGGTCATCGTAAACACCTGCCCTTCTTGTAGCATCTCAGCCGTTCTTGCAGACTTCCTGACCTGGCTGGGCTACCTGAATTCACTCATCAACCCACTTATATACACCATCTTCAACGAGGACTTCAAAAAAGCCTTCCAGAAACTTCTCCCGCTGTGTTGTACAAACTACCGGTGAAGCGTGTGGAACACTGTCATTTTTGGGTGTGACATTGATGGATACCCAGGGAAATCATTTCCAATAGAGACTTTGGTAAAAATAAAGTTTTATTTTTGAGGTCAGGCTGGGGACTCAGGGACGTAAAATGGAATTTTCTCAGCTCATATGATTCACAATCAGTGCTGCAGAGGGTAGAAAAACAGAAGTGCATCAATTAATAAATAAATGAATACTAAGGAGTTGAACTGCTTTTAGTCTATGGAACAGTTCAACCCTTCTTGGAGTACTGATATACATGATTTGAGTAATTCTAAGGAATTTGACCATCCTTAAAAAAATTACCCTTTTTTGGAGCTATTATTTCACCAGTTTTGGCACCAATTCACAGCTGTCTTGATGAATCTCCACTGTAATATTGTGTCAGCTAGTCTGGGTGCATGAAAGCAAACTTGTTAAACCAGCCACCACATAATTTTGAACTGTTGCTCAAGGAACATTATAAGGCAGCTCAACACACTTGGAGAACTGACTGCCAAATCCTGTGTACATGAGCGGGCAGATGTCCATGACTGGTCAGTATTGTAACTCTAGACCAATAGAAGAGAGGAACTGAGCCATTCTTTTCACTAATGTACTCTTTTGGACACTTGGACATGGATGAGATGCAACTCTCTTAAAGGCGTGGTTCGGCAAAAAATCAAGTTTACACAATTTTCCAATTACTCCAAATGTGGTCAATCAGCTGAGACATGTTTGGTGTCCAAATTTTGTTTCTTTAGCTAAGCACTGGAGCTATGAGGCTAATGTAGCTAACGAACACCAGAATTCAATAGTCACCCAAACCTTTCTGTAAATACATTCATAAAACTTCCCAACCTGCTATTATGAACTATAAAAATTAACAAAACGTGGCTGAACGCAGTGGGCAGCCATTTTAGACAAAGGGTGTTGTGCCGAATTTTGACGCTCCCCCATCAAATCCGACTTTACTTTTACGTACATCATGTGGGTTCTAGTTTATGTTCAGGATGTCTGTTGTTGAGTCATAACTCGGCACAGCAGCGGTGTTAATCTACATGGTGAAGTTTCGTTCAGTTTTATAGCTCACAGTAAATCATGCTGTGTTCTCAAACCAGTCATCAGGGTCACCAGGAATCCATATTTGTGCTCCAACCTAACTCACTATGCATAAGGAAAATGGGGATCGTCTCGGGGGCCCTGAGGACCAGTTTGAGAACCACTGTTCTAAACCACATTAAGTCTTAATGAAGGCCTGAATGGGCTGGTTGAGAGATGTTTTGTGGATGCATTTATGGAAATTATTTGGGTGACTATTGACGTGTAGTGTTAGCAATACTAGTTTGTTAGCAACATTAGCCTTGCGGCTCCAGTGCTAAGCTAAATAAGCAAAATTTTGCCACCAAACATGTCTTAGTTGACTGACTACATCTGGATAAGTGGAAAAACTAGGTGTAAATTCTTGCCGACATGTTCGTCAGTTGGGAGCAAGCAGTGTTGGCTAAACACCTTCTTAGGCTTTCACCAAACATCATAGTCTGTAGTCCATGAATGTGGTCATTGTTAGAATATGTATTTTTGTGCTTGTTTCACAATGGCTGCTCCATCATGAGTACTACATTGACTGAAAGTATTGACCTCTGTAAGTATTAATAAACAGACCAAGTGGGTGTCAAGATTCTTTATGAGTTTCTGAGCATTTCACTGTTTTTTCGGCAGCTGCCCTGTTTAAGTGTCCGTCTCTTGCTGACAGTGAGCCTCCATTTGCAACCACTCTTCTTGTTACCTGAGGCAGTTTTACTAGTTTGGCATGCTGTCATGATTTTTGCCACTGTTGCCTGTGACTGTTTTTCTATTTCAGTGTCTGACATACTTGGAGCTCAACCTTATCCACCTATTCAAGCGTGGTTCATCTTATATTGGTGATGTTACATAGTAATTGTCATATTGGTAATTAATGTAAGATGCAGATCACATTTTCATTTTGTTAATTAAAGGTTGCCGTCTTTTTTATTTGGAGTTTATGTACGCTCATACACTCGAACTGCAGTAGAGATTCAGTGTCCTCACAAAAGTAGTTGTTTTAAAGCAGTTAGCAAATTAGCAACACTTTAAAAGTGACTAAATACTCATGTGCACATCTTGCTTATCTTGTAGCAGGAGCGTACCTGTGTTCCCTGGGCCCTTTATTTAGCTTTATACGATACGTCTTACCTTAATATGAAACATTAAAGTAACCTATGAAAGGTTTCCCAAGGTCATACAAGGAACAAAAAGGAGCAGATTTTCAATAGGAACGCACTTTGCCTCAGTGAGCCAATTAGCTAGCTAAGCAACTTCTGTAATTCAGTCTTACAGAATACATTGACTTATAAAATAATTGCTTGTTTGAGTGTGGTGCACGCCCCTTCTTTTTTGTTCTATTTTCATAGCTCTTAATTTGCTAACAAGTTAACAGAATGAAGTAACAAACAAGATGGTGTAAGGGGAAATAAGGTCGAAAAAGTCCATCGGTTTTTCTGCATATTTTGTTAGCTCCCTTTTACCCTGTTTTTCAAAGGTCAGGACCACCACAGAACATTATTTGGGTGGTGGATCATTCACACAACGGCAATGACACTGACATAGCGGTGGTGTGGCAGTGTGTGTTAATAAAAAAAGTACAAATAATACATGCTCTCGAGGGTCTTGACCATTGAAGAACAGGGACAAAGGGGCCCAACAAAGGATGTAGAGAAACAGATGGACTACAGTCTGTAATTGTTGAACTACAAAGTGCTCCTATATGGTAGCAGGGCTGATTAAATGACAAAATGGAGCATAGATACAAAGAAGTGTTCCTACTAAAGTCCTCAGTGAGTGTACTTACTAACTGTAACCCATCTGTTACTGCACAATTTATCAACATATACCCCAGCAGGACCACCCCTTAGCTAATATTTAGGACGTGGGCCATTCTTAATACAGTGACATCCTAAACTACCTCACAGTTGAGAAACTGACCATTTATTAGAATGACTAACAAAATTGTGCATGCCCTATAGAGCTATATTTTATAACCACACCCACTGGACAAGTATTTCTAATGAAGTGGCCAGTTGTAGTACAGCATGTTGAAAAACCACTGTCACTGACACACCAATACCGCTCTAGCACAACTCACATGTTAGGGTCACTGGTGTGCTAAGAATGGCCCAAACAAATATCTGGCCAGCCGTGGTCCTATGATCTGTTTCTATTGATAGATTAGCTAGAGAGGAGCTGATAAATTGTGTGGCAACAGACAGGCTACAGTCAGCAATTGCAAACTGACAGAGCACCTCTCAGGAAGGTGCACCTGATAAGGTCAGTGAATGTACACAGGCGTACCTATTAAACTGAGGTAAAGTTTGTAGCTGGTGAACATAAACTTTCAGGGCTTTTATTCCCTTTACGCAGGGTTTTGTATGATCAACTCAAAATGAACACACGCCATCAAAGTACAATTTCAGAGAGCAACGTTTGAAACAGCTTTTTTTATTTGTAACCACCCCGCCCCACTCACTTCAGGCAGATCAAATTATAACCAGCTGATTATAGCCACAATCATAAAATACTTCCATGATTTAGCCAACAGTAAGAATATTACCAAGATATTAAAGTTCAACACTACCACCTGCTGGATAAAAAGCACTTTCACCCCTGTCATTCACCAGCATGATTTTCTTTGAGCTGTAAGGAATTTAAAACAATTTAAGATAAAAAAAACCCACCACAAACACTTGAAAGCATGCTTTTTTGAACAAAGTTTAAGTGACTCACTTAGAGTGTGCTTTAAAAAGGTTTAGTAAAACATTTGCATGGTTCTTCAGATCAATGGAGAATGCTGTAGATGGTTCCATCTAGCACTATTGTTACAGGTTTGATAATAGCAGAACCATTCTTGATGCTATATAGAAATCTCAAAAAGGTTATATAGCACCATCTACAGCATTCTCCAGTCTGAAAACCATTTCACCATGCAAAGATGTGTTTTCATGGTTCTATATACACCATTTTCTTTACTAAATAACCCTCTGAAGAATCATTTGAGAGTGTGACCTGAAGCCAAGAACATTGTATGCCATTATGTAGATATCATCCACGTTTGGTTTACATTTAACTTGAACCCACACCCGAATTCATACCAAAGACTGAATTAAATGATTAAGGTGATGCCATTGCTAGTCATTAGCACTGCCATACTGAACACAAGAGTATTAAGATACTTTTATTTACAAAAATAAAACATTTAAAAACCAAATCAGTACACTAGACCAGTGAACACCTCAGTCAGACAAAGGCACCACGATCTCTGGTTTGAGATGCTGGTTTATAATGGCCAGCTCTTGCCCTTGAAGTGGGAGGACAAGATGTGCACAGGAGGCCTCCACCGATAACCAGGAGCACAGCTGCACCCCAGCAGATAAAGATAGCAGCCCCCAGCTCCCTCTTCTGCGCCTGGGCCACCAAAGGGTTGTAGAAGTCCATGATGACCACATGGGCCGTCCAGCTTGGAGGCACAAGGCTCAGAACGCCAGCAATGAGAAAGAAAACCCCAGCTCCTGTAGCTACTCTAGCTTTGGTGGTAGAACCTTCAACCAAGCAGTTTGTGCATTCACCCCCAGCTACACTAGCAACTATAGCTACAACAGCAATTAGGAGAGCAATAATAAGGATGGCTCGAGAGGCCTGGAGGTCTGAAGGCAGCGCCAGCATAGAGTCAAAGACTTTGCACTGCATTTGGCCAGTGCTTTGCACCACACAGCTCATCCACAAGCCCTCCCAGACGATCTGTGCAGTCACAATGTTGCTGCCTATAAAGGCAGTCACTCGCCATAATGGAAGGGCACAGGCCACGATAACACCCAGCCAGCCCAGTGTCCCCAGTGCAGCACCAAGCATCTGTAGTCCCGCAGACATGGCACACTCAGGACAGGGCTGTATTTGACCTGGAAGAAACAGAGCAAAGCTGGAAGTAAAACTGTTCCAAAATGGCTCCCCATTTGACAGTGCACAGAAGGTACAAGTCTGTCCAACTCCAACACATATCCAACCTCCATCTGCAGCATAGTTGGTTACCACAATGGCTTCTATGCATTCCTCTTTTACTGAAGCAGCTCATTACAAGAACTTTGCCAATGTTATGCCAAGGACAGGAAAATGCTTTGAAATTCTGTGGTAAACAATGCTACATAGCATTGCAGCAGAAATACATGGGGGGGTTAAAGTTTACTGCTAATAAGGAATGACACAAAAAGGAACAAACAGTAGGTGGGTATTACACTTAAATGCACAACATATTTCCAAATGATGGCCTGCCAATAAAATAATGCTTGACTTTCAAGTACGAGAGATCTTACTGCTAACTTTGGCCAAGAAATTCACATGAAATTTACTAAGTAGCAATTTTAAGTAGAGGTGATGACTTATTTCTGTAAACTTCAAACACATTTACTGAAAATATTGAAAATAATGTTGGCCAGTTCAATGACAATCACACCATAGTTGTAAGTCATTAAGCCTTCCCAAAAAGACATCCCATATGGTGATATCTGAGGACTTAATTTTGAAGACCAACTTTGTAACTAGAAAAAAGTTTAGTAATTTTGTCCAGCAAATGTACTAAGCCTGGGGTGTCCACTCTTACCCACAAAGGGGCAGTGTGGCTGCAGGTTCACTCCAGCAAAGCAGGAGCTCACATGAGCAACAGTTTGATGACAAACTAGATTAAACAAGTGGAATCAGGTGTGTTCCAGCTCATTTGAGTGAAAACCTGCAGCCACACCAGCCCTTTGAGGATAAGATTGGACACCCCTGTACTAAGCTTTCCAGTAACACCAGCCAAATATACATTAATGCATAATCTAGAAAGAAGTAGCCAACCCTAGCTCAGCCAGGAATCACGGCAGACTTCACTTTAATTCAAAACTGAGTAGAATAAGCCAATAATCAAGGAAACATTACTTTGGTGATTACTACAGCTGATAATTACTTAATTAGAAGTAGATCAGACTTTGAACTTGAAATGCAAGAGTGGCAGGTCAAAATCTTATAGAACTGCAGTAGAAAATCCAGCCACTTAAAAAGTGAAGTCTGTCAAGCTGCAGTCTTCACTTTGATGCTGTTCTGATCTGAAGTGAGAGATGTGACCACTCTCAGAGCATTACACATTCACCAATGAGTAAAGACCGCCCCCCCCAAAAAAAATGAGTTAGGAGCCAAGCATTAGGTAACATTTAAGTTTTAGGAAACGAAGTTTTCCCCTCATAATAGCATTGGCATTTGAAAATACTCAAAGTAGAAATCCTAAAGTTTTTCTTGAACACCCACTTCTATTGGCAGTTGCAGCACTTCTTTCTGTTCAAACTAAGCAATGAAGTAATAGTACTAAGCATAAAAAGAATTATCTATGATATACAATACACATGGTGTAATATGATACTGAGCCACAGCAAGACAGTGGGAGATGTATGAAATAACCCTGCTTACCTGCAAGTTTTAAAACAGCTGCAGCACAAATTAAAACCAACACATCAAACCACAAGAAGAGCCTGACTGCTAAAAGTGTGGGCCCCACATGCCTCACTCTCCCAAAACACCAGCTAACAGTACTCAACTAAAACAATGCAAAACCAACAGCCTTCACACTTCAGTTATAAGGCACCAGCTCCTCTTCCTGCACATTCATTGGCCAACAACTGTTCTGTTGCTGATGATTCTCCCGCTGTGATTGGTTGGTGAGAATAATTATGTGTCATGTGATGGTTGCATGCCACGTGCTTTGGAGTGCAAGACAGACCCAACTTTCCCAAACCTACGTTTAAGCACTCCTCCTTGTATCTACACTCTTTGTCCATTTTATCAGCTTCACTTATCATATGGGTGCACTTTGTAGTTCTACAATTACAGACTGTAGTCCATTTGTTTCTCTGCATACTTTGTAACCTCCCTTTCTGTTCTTCAATAATCAGGAACCACACATGACCACCACAACCAATATTATTTGGGTGGTGGATCATTTTCAGTACTGCAGTGACACTGACATGGTGGTGGCATGTTAGTGTGTGTTGTGCTGGTACAAGTGGATCACACACTGCTATTTGTATTTATTATAAACTCAGATTTTACTGCCAAAAACATACATACAGCAAAGGTAAATAGTTTTAAACAATATTCTTGACTGTCTAAGACTTTTCCAGAGTACTGTATAAACATAAACCTTTCAGTATTAGCAGTATTTTAGTGACATAATTGAAAAAAAATACAATAATTAACAATAACAATATAATTTTTTTGTTGTTTAATTCTGTTTTGTACACTCCTGCACTGTATTCGGGATGGTTCACTCACTAATTAATTCCCTATCCACTACATATTTGCTAAACTAAACTTGTATGACATTCTGGAGAGTCCACTATTTCACAAATAGTGTGTGATTTCAAATGCAGCAATAGTTTCAGGGCCTGACACGTAACTGTAATGTATGTAATTTACTGGCTGCTTCATACTGTTTTGAAAGAACAGTCCTAGTCCATAACAAGTTCTATAAATATAACTATAAAAACATAAGCATCTGGTTCATGTTAATAATACTGTATAAGGTTTCCTTTGGTGAAAGGGGAGGTCCACAGATTTTTTAAAAATTTTGCATAATTCAATCATCATTATGTAAACAAAGTAATTCAGAGTTGTCTGATGTAAAATGGTTAATTGTAGAAAACCTACAGAATCAGGCTTCTTTTTAATGGTGGTGATAGGAACCAGAGATCATGGTGTCTACACAATTACATTTTATTTACTATCCAAAACCACCAGTGAATCTGCGTCTTCTGATTTTATATGTAATGTTGATGACGGTAAAATAGTGATAAATTTGAGAAAAGTAGGTTTTAACCTTCTCTCAAAAGGCACTGTAATCATAGACATTTTGTTCATAGCTTTCTGTGATGTAGCTTTTAGAGGCATTAAAATGGTGGGATGCCTACACTGAGAAAAGTAAGTTTACATTGACTGATGCATTTAAGAGAAGAAAACAAAACAAATTAGTTCAAAACAAGCTATGTCAGATTTGTAGGACATTTGCACATAACAGTATTCAAGAAAAATGGTCTCATTAACTGTACTAAAGGGCCCATATCATGAAAAACTGAATTTCTCTTGCTTATTTGAAATAAAGGAGTTTAAATTAATATGTAAACAGCCAATTTTAATTCATTGTTTCTGTGATGGCATGAAAACCAACTCATTTACATCTGTTCACCTATTCGGCCTACAGCAGTTTAGCTCAGCCCACTCATACTGAGTTTATCAGTGTTTTTTGAATGAGGCACAATACAGGACAGCCAATCAGCTGAGCTCATTTATCTTCTATCATTTTTAAAGGCACGGTAACAAAAACAGACTTTGATAGTAAGGGATAAAAAGAGGTTGGAAAATGGTCATGTAAAAATGAATTATGACTGGTTTTATTAGAATGTTTTGATGGCCTAAATCTCCTTATCAGGGGGAAAGTAGTGATATTACGCTTATAAGAAATGTTATAAGTGGATCTCAAGGGGAAAAAAATACTTAAATATCATATATATGTATGATGTATGATGTATGTTTTCATATATATATATATATATATATATATATATATTATGAAAACCATTGGTGGTAGTTGCTAAATATCCTACATTCACTTTTTTTCACATGAGGCCAGTTTATCACATCGGTGTGGCTTTTTGTATCAGTCATAATTCATTTTTTTACACTGCTCATTTCTAACTTCTCAATAATCTCGTAGAATTAAACGGACTGTTTAAGACTGATATATGTAAATAGCCTCTGTTCTGATTGGCTTTCCTGTATTGGCCTCATCCAAAAAACAGTCCAGGCTGAAGCACTCCTTCAAACTTCAGCGTGAATGGGCGGGGCTAATCTACTGTAGGCTCAGACAGATACATGTGACATCACAAAAACAATAGATTCAAATGGGTTATTTTTGCAGTTTGGTAGATTTTGCAGTTTTTTGTAGATGGACCTACGGTCTGGGGGTGAACGGTACACTCTGAAGCTTTAAAAATAGGTACATAGTACAGTAAAGTGATTTATTTATTTAAGTGAAGAAAACGAGTTTTCCCCTGAGGTGGGAGCTTTAAAAACCCTTCGCGCTGCAGTTACAGATAAGACTGATAACTGGACGGGGAAATGTGCACGAATTAAAAGTCCAACAGTTGACAAATCAGAGTCCCAGAAAGAGGACACATGCGGGCTGCGGGTGACCGAAAGGAAAGGTGGTCCAGTGGCGAGGCAGACAGAGCGGAGCTGCAGGGAGACTGACAGGCCGCTCCGCCAATCCGCTGCGCCCGGGGGTCGGCTGGGCTTCGGCAGATGGTAAACGTTTGTGGTCTGTGTTGTACGCGCTGGGTTAGACAAGCAGTATGGCGGAAGAAGAGAGTGAATTGGAGTTAGACAGGTTCAAGAAAGATCTGGAGAGTTTGTTACACAGCGGTGCGAGCGACGAGCACGGACTCCAGAGCAAGAGCTACTGCGCGAGGTTTTGTGAGGTGAGTCGGCGACCTGCGAGTTCGCGAGGAAAGCAAACGCACAGCTCAAAGCTGCCGTTAGCCAGCCAGCTAACAGGCGTTAGCTTGTCACAGCCCCCCTCCCCCCGTCTGTGCTCGGCCACTTTTAGCTAAATATCCCTGCTGTATCACTCCAGCGGCCTTTCGGCGATTCGGCCGAGTGTGTAAGTGTAAAAAATAACGCCCGCGTTTGTCTGAAGCTGCATTTTAACTCGCGTTAGCTCGCTGTGGGCCAGCTAGCCCGCGATCAGCTAGGCTAAGCTAGCTGTTAGCTACATTCCAAAACAACACAGCGATTGTCAGTCTGCCAGATTGAGTTCAGCTCGCTAGCCTATTAGCTAACGTTTGCTAATTTTGGCCGGCATAGTCGAAAGCCAGACTAGGCTTTTGGAAACTTGGTCTGAATTTGTAGACAGACCTGCTTGTAAATTGCCTGTGTGCTGTTAGCGTTAACTCGAGCCCAGCCGTAAGTGCTCTTTGTGTTCGGTGTCCTGCCTGAGTTGGCCGTGTTGGAAACTGCTTCGCTGAAGTTCGTCAAAACTTGTAGTGATTAGTGTTTAGAGAGGTTAGATATTCTGATCAGCAGTTCTGCCTGGTCGTAATGTCCCGCCGTGGGGCGTGTTTAGATGTAGCTCCCTACATAAAACTGTAGGTAAGATATGTTGTTGGCCTAAATAACCAGAAAATCAGAAAATGCTACCAGCATTAAACTGCAGGTAGGGTAACGTATTTTGATGGCCTAAGTCATCATGTCAGAAAATGCTACCAGCATTAAAACTGCAAATAGGATGTTTTGGTGGCCTAAATTATTGTCATGAACTGCTATCAGCAGCAAAACTACAGGCAGGATATTTTGATAGCCTAAGTCATCATATCAGAAATTGCTACCAGCATTAAAACTACAAATTTGATGTTTTGGTGGCCTAAATTATTGTCACGAACTGCTACCAGCATTAAAAGTACAGGTAGGACTGTTTGATAGGCTAAATCACATGATCAAAGAATGCTACCAGCATTAAAACTACAGACAGGGTATTTTGATAGCCTAAGTCATCATATCAGAAAATGCTACCAGCATTAAAACTACAAATAGGATGTTTTGATGCTCTAAATTATTTTCATGAACTGCTATCAGCGGCAAAACTATAGGTAGGATGTTTTGATAGCCTGCATCTCCTTATCAGGGTGAAAGTAGTGATATTAGGCTGAATCTGATCTGAATTAACATTAAAACACAATAAAACGATATGTTGTATTACTACACTCTACTAATGAAGCGCACATACTCGGTATGGACCACTCGATGGATAATACAAGTTGTTAGAACACAAGTTTGCTGATTTGACTCAACCATCAGTTTCATAGAGACGTCTTTCTCCTGAAGTTGTCAGTGTTTTCTTGTTTAGACTAAATGTTAACTCATTTAGCTTGGTCAGATGGCGCATCCCGTTGCAATCAACTGTCACTAAGCAATGTAACTACTGTACATATAGACAAAATGTCCATATAGACAAAGCACTTTGTGTAGCGGTTCTCAAATCTGGTCAGGGTGGTAGCCCTGCACCCCCCCCGATTAGTATTTTCTCTGCTCCCAACACACCTGAACTCATCAGCTAATGAACAAGCTCAGACTGAAGTGTAGCAGATAATATCAGGTGATATATGTTATCAGTAATACAGTTAATGACCCCATTCTTCTTGAGTTCTCCTACTCAATACTAAAAAAAGGTTTAAGAAACCTGATGTTGGAGGGTTTTGTTCTGTTTTCTTTCTTCTTATGCAGTAATGTAAACATTAACCAGACAGAAACCAGATTTCCAGAAGGGAAACTTTCTGTTTATTTAATTTTTATAGATTGTAGTCTGATCTTTCGAAACAACCTGAAGCACCCAGCAAATGACACTTAACTTATGGCCTGGGATCTTGTGTAAAGTGTCCAGAATAGAATTACTACAGCTGAAAACGTCTTGGCAACTGGAACACTGCTTTTATATGGGCAGTATATCATGTGTGTAATGCTTTATTTCTGTAGGTTTGCG